CCGGAATATATTACAAAATATAACAAGTTATACCAATATATACTAAGTTATCCCGTTTGTTTCACAGAATTTGAGCTACAAAACTAACAAGTTATACCAACATTTACTAAGTTACCCCTTTTGTTTCCGAATTCAATTTAGAAAAACTAACAAGTTATACCAAGATTTACTAAGGTACACTATTTATTTAACCGATTACTAAGTTACAAAAACTAGCAAGTTATACCAATTTGCACTTAGTTGGCCACAATATTGAGACATACCTTTGAATGGCTGGAGTCCGACACAGTTTTTTCTGAGTCATTTACATGCGACTCAGTGTCATTCGAACCATCAGGGACTTCGCGTTGTCCTGGAGGCGAATCACCAACATANTTTGGGTTCTTNGTGCGCNCCATTGATCTTCGAAAAACCAAACAACCCAACATTATAACTTCGCGAAATCGGTTAAGCATTTTAACCTAAATTCGACGCGAATTCTACTCAAAATTGCAAAATGTATACTCGGTCGGATTTGAATAAAGAAATTAGATTCGGACTTACCTTGGAATTAGATTTCGAGTTACGAAGAGTTATCCTTGGTTGTACTAGAACTTGTTAAAGAAGATGCAAAAAAATTGGAAGATGGGCGGACTTGTGTTTTTTTTAAAACTGTCGAGGGAGTTGTCGGGTTAAAGAGGAAGAGTAGGATCCGAATTTTCTGGGTTTGGGTGTGAGTTGATCCATTTAGGATGGTTGGGTCTATAAATAAGAAATTTTATTAAGAGGTTTTGGATCTTTAGACTTTTTTCAATTTTTACACACAAAATTTAAATAAAAATAAATTTTTTTTTTAACAGAAGGTAAAGGTATATAAGAACATGTCCCATAAATCAGAGCTTATATTCTTTAAAAAAAAATACTATTACAAAATATATATTTTCTTTCTTTTACAAATTATATCCGTTGAGGCAGTATCCGTTATTTATATTCACACAAATGACTCAAAAGAAATGAATTCATATGGTTTTGTAAAAATCATAATCCAAACGGGAAAATGATTAGGTTACTGAACTCGAAGTTCGATTTACAAGAACCGTATAAAAGAAAAACAAATACTCTCTTTTTCTTCGTCTCTCTCTTTCGTCATCTTCCTCCTTCTCTCTCTTTCATCATCTTCCTCGTTCTCTCTCTTTCCACATGTCAACAACCATGAAGAAAACTCCACCTGTTGTTCCAGAGGACCTCGAGGAAAGAATATTTTCCATGCTTCCACTGTCTGCGCACGCAATGGCCACGCAATTCTCTCCGAGACTTAAGAAATCTATAGAGGAAGGGCAGCTTTTCAAGACGAGAGCAGATAACAACATTCGAGAGACGTACGTTCTTGTCAGTGTGACTTCTCCTCCTACAGATAAGGCCAAATGGTTTGCTATTCTCAGTAAATCCTACAAGCAAGAGTTTTTGTTGAGACCCATAACCTCTCCTCCCAAGCATGAGAAGGGCGAGCTTGTGGCCCTTAGAAACAGACTCTTTTCCATTGGTTCCACGACAGAAGTGATCGCTTTTAACTACACATCAAAGATCCAAGAAAGAAGCTATCTAAATGCAGTTCATAATAAACCTAAAGTGGCAGGGGTTTGCAATAAACTGTACATCTTTGGTGGCGTTTCTAAAGAGGATGCTGACTGTTATGTCGAAGCCTTGGATTTGAGCACACAAAAATGGGAAAAAGTTCCGGTACCTGAAGAAGAAAGGATGCTGATTCCTCTGAATTGCGACCAGGTTGTTCTGAACAACTGCGTGTACTTCCTACATAAGAACACTTGTGTAGCCTTAAACCCCCAATCTGGAAAAATAGAGAAGGAATATGAAAATTTTGGTGAGAAGAAATTTGACACGTCATGTGTCATTGGCAATAAGCTCTTTGCTCTTGACTGGGAAGCCAAGATTACAGTATATGACTCACCAAACCGCTTATGGAGACCTCTCAAAGGACTAGAAAACATACCTTCGTTTGGCTTATTCACCGCCGCCTTGATTAGCTTCAATGGCAAGCTACTGGTCTTGCAACAGACACCACAGGACATCTCTTTGACCGTGATCGCCATAGAAGAACGAGGGCAGGACATTTGGGGACGTCTTGAGTCGTCAAACAGTGGTCTGATTCTCCAGGAACCTACAACACGTATTCAAGAAATTCTCAGCGTTGAAATATGAGCACCTTTTTCCTCTTTAGGACAGAAACTTCTCATTCATTACAGCCTTTGGTATACCTTTTGTCTCCTTCTTCTTCATAATAGCCAATACTGCTTGATTTTGTGTAGCCTTGCGTGTAGCCTTTTTTCTCTTTCTTCATAGCCAAAACTGCTCGATTTGTAGAGCCTTGCTTGTAATGTCTCCTTATATCAGCACGCCATTTGTGTCATATTTGTCTCTTCTACTGCTTTCTACTGCTAGTATATTGTATGACTGCAAAAGTTTCTGTTCAGTCGCTGAGCCTGAGATTATAATGCCAAGAAGCAGTTCAGAACACAACAAGAGTTACTTTGGAACAGAACAGGAGTTCAAATGGCTTGTGTAGCTCAGAGAGTGCTTCCACACAAGCCTAGAAACTATAAGAACATGACCAATAAAGGCAGAAATGTGAAACTTCACATAGGAAAAACTAGAAACAAATGCGTCACAAACAAACAATCCAGCCTTTTCTCTTGAAATGCATACACATAACAGTAGCAAAGCATACCTTTTCTCTTGCCTGCTCCTTGGTCAGCATAACGAGCACTATCATTGAACACCCGCAGTAAAATACCAATATGACTGGTCTAAACACACAAATAAGAGTGAATGAAATGAAATGAATAGGATTGACTATGTTGAACGTACTTTGCTGCACTTGTGAGATAGTTGCACGTCCTCTTGAAATTTGCTTTGTCTACATGCTCAAGTAAGAGATCAAGATCCTCGACATCCATTAAAAGGTCAACAGCTTCGGTTTCTGCATTGTGCCGCAAGTAAAAAAATGAAATCCTAGTAGTTAATATTAGATCTATAAAGGCCAACAGCTTCGGTTTCAAAACGAAGGTGCTATAAATATTAGACTAAAAACCCCCAAAGGTGCTAGTCTTAAGCCTATAAATTATAAAATTTCTACTTATGCACGACAACAGACAAAGAAACAAGAAAAATAACCATCGTTGGGAAATTTACCTTCATGTGAAAAGCAACAATTTGCTGCACAAACTCCATTAAATCGTCAATAGGGGCCTCCTCACTCTGAGATAACAAAACGAACAGGTAGATAACCATATCTCAGTAACATTTCTCACTGAGTAAGACAAATATAGTCATTCCTTAAAACACCAATCATCAGAAGGATGAAGCCAAATACAACTTCCAATAACCTTAGAATATGTGGAAAAGCCTTATGACGAGAAACTGAATTTCCAAAGACAAAATGGATAGTTAGTTTCTAACCTGACGCTTTGTATACTCTTGTGCAATTCTCCCGCTAAATTCCTGACATATTCGTGACCCCACGATCCAATGTCACCCTCTGTTCCAATCAACCTATAACCTAAGCTTTCCTGAAATAATATTGTAAATAAAAATGAATAATAGAATACAAATTGTAGAATTTAACCAAGAATCCCACAACAGCTGTGTTAAGGCAGAACAGAAAGAAATCAGTAGCTAGAAGCATACCCTTTCCCCCTCAGCAGACAGCAAGGGCCAAGACCGACAAGATATCAGACAAGTACTTCTGCAAACACAGAAAGTGTGATCTTTAATAAGCCATAACCAAGTAATAGGAACAAAAAAGGNATTAACGAGGTGTGACTTGAAATGTATGATGACATACNTTGAGATCAGAATCAGCCATNGTTACATGAAATGCTTTAAGAGTTCCATAATGGGGACGGAGAAACTTGAGTGGTTTGGGAACTGAAGTCATTGAGCTTGTTGAAGCTCGGATTTCCTGTCTACAGAGCACAAAAAACTCCATCGAGCTTAGATTAAGACAAGGAGTAAATTAACAAACACAAGCATGTACAAGCTTCAATGGCAATAATCTGACAAAAACCCTCAGCTTACCTCATGCTTTCAAGAGCAGCCCTCTGCAACTCCGGATTGGGATCCTGAACTCTCTCGACATAGAGCTCAAGGTTCTGCTTTAATTCCAAGTCCTCTTCAGACTACAATCACACCCAATGTAAGTCAAGTCATTTAGCGACCATATACTAGCTACAAAAAAAGAAACTAAAATATGAAAAGGATGCTACTTGTCAAAGAACAATGGTAGAAAACCCTTCTCCAAAAACAATAAAGCTTCCTCGAACAAAAACCCTAAATCCAAACTATCTTACTTCAATTCGATCGATTTCCAAGTAAAAACTGACTACAGATCCAACAGATTTGAAATTAAATTCCCTTCTAATGTACCCAGATACCAAAAAAGTTCCAACTAGCTCTCCAACCAAACACAATGTCGAAATCAAACTGAGGGGGAAAGAAAAACTCACGAGCTCGTCTTACTTTTTTGTCGTCCTTCTTCTTGGGATCTTTAGACGGAACCTTCAGACGGAAAGTCACGAGCTTCATCCTTCTTCGCACCGCCTCCGACACTGTTGGGATCATGAGCAGAAGCCATATCTCTCTACTTGCAAACTTAGTAGCACCAGATCAATTTGAAGAACCACGCTTGAATTCGAAAACTCGGAACTTATACTTGTGCAATCGAAAACTCTAACTATGGAGGAATTACAACTCTTCTGCAACGTAAAATTAGTATGGAATTTGGAAAACAAAGTTCCATCAAAGTTATATCGGAATCGGAGAAGATAACCCCTCGATCCAGATTTCTATGATTGGGTTCGGCCCATTGAACTTATTGGGCTCGTTTAGTAAATCCTTCCAACATGTCTTAACATTTTTTTTCTTTTTAACAAGTCCCAATGGAACATTTTTCTTTTAAAACAACTCCTGATTGTTCAATAGTTGAAGAATTTATTTTGAGGTTGGGAGACCATGGTTTGAATTTCGTTACTATGATCAAATAATTATAATTGGCTGTTGTAAAGTATTTAACAAAAATACTTCCTCTTTTCACATGTACTTTAAAATCAATATGCATCTCGTATGGAATTCCATTTATAAATCAAATGAATGTATTTTTCTCTTTCATTATCTTCGACCAAATTCCTTTATATATTTGAATTTGAAACGAGTATTCATTTTGGTTTGTATTGGGTTTGAAGGCCATGTTGGATTCGAATAATAATATTTATATTACTAGCCTACTTGGACTCTTTTATAATAAAATACGTACATGTTTACATGTGTGAGTGTAAAATGAGATGCTACTAGTAGTCTCCGCATGTAGGTATAAGAATTACGAAGAAAGAGAGAAGGACCATTCAAAATTTGAAGGAGACGAGAGAGAGAGTGGTCACAATTGGAGAAAGAAGAGGTCGTTACGTTGGATTTTACGTTGCCTCCATGGACTCCCGTACCGTTAATTGTAAGATTATCTACCATAACTCAGCTTCATACATGTTATTTAACATGTAAAATCACTTATAAATTCTTTAATATAACATTTTTAAAGAAAATATTGAGT